AGGGGAGGTTCCCCCGCTCCGGGCCGGCCCCGCCGGCACTTCCTGCGGCTCCCGGCAGGCGGGCGGCCGGCCTCTATGGTTGTAACCCTTCCGGCACCGGCCCGCACTGCCCTCCGCCGCGCCGGCCTTCCCCTGGGCTGCGGGAGGCCGCGGCGGGGGAGGCTGGGCCCCGCCGAGTGGAAGCCCTGCCCCTGCCCCTGCCCCTGCCCGCCGGCTTCTCCCCGGCCGGGGGCTCACCTCAGCACCGCCGGGGGTGGGGGGGTCGCCTGAGGTGGCCTGGTCCTGCCCCCCCGGCACCCGCAGCGGTGTCCCGCAGCCCGGCCTTCACCCGCTTCCTCCTGCAGCCCGCAGGTCTTCTGTCGCTGCGGGTGTTTATCATGGAATTGTTGGAGTTGGAAGGGACCTTCTAGAGACCATCCAGTCCAACTCCCCTGCCAAAGCAGGGCTGCCCAGAGCACATCACTCAGGAGCATCCAGGAGGGGCTTGAAGATCTCCAGAGAAGGAGACTCCACACCCTCCCTGGGCAGCCTCTGCCAGGGCTCTGGCACCCTCACCCCAAAGAAGTTCTTCCTCAGATTGGAGTGGAACTTCCCATGGTCCAGCTTGTGCCCGTTGCCCCTCATCCTGTCACAGGGAACCACTGAAAAGGGTCCAGCTCCATCCTCCCTCAAACCACCCTTGAGATCCTTGTCAGCATTAATAAGGTCTCCCCTCAGCCTTCTCTTCTCCAGGCTAAAGAGTCCCAGCTCTCTCAGCCTTTCCTCACCAGGGAGATGCTCCAATCCCTCCATCATCTCTGTTGCCCTTCGCTGGACTCTCTCCAGCAGTTCCCTGTCCCTCTGGAACTGGGGAGCCCCTAACGCTCCCCCTGGCACGTCTGTGTGTCACAACTATCACCGTTTCCTCCCTCACATGCCTTTATTGAAGCTCCACAAGAAAGAGGACTCTCAGGGGAGACCTTATTGTGGACTTTAAATGTATAAAGGGGGCTTTTAAGAAAGTCTTTTTACCAAGGCCTGTAGTGACAGGACGAGGGACAATGTTTTTAAACTGAAATAGGGTAGATTTAGATTGGACATAAGTAATAAATTTTTTGCTGTGAGGGTGGTGAGAGCCTGGCCCAGGTTGCCCAGAGAAGCTGTGGCTGCCCCATCCCTGGAGGGGTTCAAGGCCAGGCTGGATGGGGCTTGGAGCAACCTGGTCTGGTGGGAGGTGTCCCTGCCCAGGGCAGGGGGGTTGGAACTGGATGATCTTCAAGGTCCCTTCCAACCTAAACCATTCTATGATTCCTAAATTCCAGTACCTGATACGTCCCCAAACTACTCTGTAAATGAAGAACAGTGGCTGCTTTTATGAAAGGAAACACATGGGGAAAAAAATTTAAAAAATTTGGATTTACCAAAAGTTAAGAGAGAAGCCTAGATGTTAATGAGATTTTCAGGCAGTTGAGTCACATCATTTGGAAATACTGAGTCAACCAAGAGGACAGGACACACCTATTTTTGGCTCAGGTTGCAGAGGTTTGCAGAACCTGAACTGATGCGTGCCTTTGTATGCCTAAATACTGACATGAAGATTCATTAAAAAAAAAAAAAATATTACAATTGTTAAATAAATGGAGTTAAATGCTAGTGTTTTCCACAGTTACTGAAAGCAGAAGAAACCGACAACTTTTATTTGGCTTTGATGCCCCTGAACAAACTTACCACAACTTTTCCTTCGGACCTGATACAGGGGAAAACCAGTTCTCCTGAGTGGTTTTCTGATTTATTCCCAGTCCCTTTGGAACAGCTGTGTCTAGTAACTGTTCTGCAGACCTTACACCCAAACGTTGCTTCATTGACTGGTGGAGCCATACCCTGGGACAAAGGCAGCATGAAAAAGCACCAATAAAAGTAGATGATCCCCTCCTGCCCTGTCATCAGGCAGAGAAAGGGGACTTAATGGAAAGGGGGGAATGGAGGCTGGTCCTCCCTCAGAGAGGCAGGCGGAACCCTCAACAGCCTCCCTCACACCCCCAGTTACAGTTACAATTGCAAAAAGGAGAAACTTCTTCACGGTGAGGGTGACGGAACCCTGGAACAGGCTGCCCAGGGAGGTTGTGGAGTCCCCTTCTTTGGAGATTTTCAAAACCCGCCTGGATGTAGTCCTGAGTAACATGCTCTAGCTCTAGGCAATCCTGCTTCAGCAGGGGAGTTGGACTAGATGATCTCTATGGTCCCTTCCAACTCTAGAAATTCAGTGAAATTCAGTGAAATTCAGTGAAATTCATTGAGATAAGTGGTGTTGACCAGGAGAATAAGACATTGCAAGGGAGAAATTAAGTTGTGTAAATATGATAACATGTTCCAGGAGAAGGAAGAACAGGAGGAAGGATCGGTGAACTACATACCCACAGAGTGTCTGGTGTAGTCAGCTGGAGTAGTAACTGTTCTGCAGACCTTACACCCAAATGTTGCTTCATTGAGATAAGTGGTGTTGACCAGGAGAATAAGACATTGCAAGGGAGAAATTAAGTTGTGTAAATATGATAACATGTTCCAGGAGAAGGAAGAACAGGAGGAAGGATCGGTGAACTACATACCCACAGAGTGTCTGGTGTAGTCAGCTGGAGGAATCATGGAATTGTTGGAATTGGAAGGGACCTTCTAGAGATCATCCAGTCCAACCCCCCTGCCAAAGCAGGGTTGCCCAGAGCACATCACTCAGGAGCATCCAGGAGGGGCTTGAAGATCTCCAGAGAAGGGGACTCCACACCCTCCCTGGCAGCCTGTTCCAGGGCTCTTGGCACCCTTCAAGGAGGAGAAAGCCTTTGCTGAAATCTTTCACAGGAGGTGCAAGGGAGCACAGCTTGAAATCTTGCAAAATGAATTTTCAGGAGCAAGCGGTCAACGGGAAGAATGTGGTAGCGGTTGTGTTCACAAGCTGGAGATCTGTGGGATGCTCGGGGTGCATACCTGGAAAACGATCACAGGTAGGGAAGATGGAACCCAGAATAAAATAGTCAGTACAGCAGCTGTAGGAGTACAGCACAGAGGAAGGATGCATTAATATTTCCATGCCAATGCAAAAGAACATGCTGATCCGAGGACAGGAGAACATCAGCTTCACAGAGGGCACTAAGGAAGTGGGTATGAAAGAGGACCTATATTTGTTTGGGACCTATAGTTGTTTTTTCTGTCACTCAGAAGAAGTACTTCCATATCTTTGGAGTGGCACGGCCGATGGAAATGGCAGGGAAGCAAGTGGCTCCCTGGGTAAGGAAAAAGCTGGGAAGATGGCCAGGGATGCATTGCTAAAAGCTTTGAAACCTAATAGCCACGGAGGTGAGCATCATCAGAATAGCAGCAATAAAAGGCTGGAGGATGACAGCAGGGTGGTTTGTTGTGAATAACTTATAGTAGTTTAATTCATACCGAAATAATTTATAATAAGGTTTTTAATCATCGTTTAAATCACCAAGTGAGTAAATTTTAATTAAGTGAGCGATGTTCGTCATATTCTGCAGGCGTACTTTTTAAGGATTTTCTTCCTTAAAGGAAAGATTGATTCTCATTGTCTGTTGAACATTCAGAAACCTTTCACTAAGACTAATTTTTTCACAAAATAACCTCTTTTTTGTTAGCAAGTACACACTACATATATACACAAGTAGTTCTGTAAGTTAACATGCATTTAAATTATTTATTTAACCCACATAAATTTTCAATGTCATGATTGTGTAAGCTGTTGAATTACACTTCCTATTCATTAAATAATTCCTGTGTTTATTCCAGGTTTGACGTTTGTGGAGTTGGAATGGTGGAAAAGAAAAACCTAGAATTTTCAATTTTTCTTGTAAGTGAAATATGATGAGTGCATCT